AAATTAGGATGGAGGTCATCTTTTAGTTTAATTCAAACTTACATTTCATGCATGTCAAATTCAGAAAAAATTTCACTAAAGAGTGATTTAAACATAAATTTACATCCTAATTACCTAAGGAATCCAATATTTAATTATTCAAGATATTTGAGAGTTCTTAATTTCAAAGAATTGTCAAATTGTGTAAATGTTTGGTATGTTTATCAATTTAAATTGGATAGACGAGATGATTCTTTAGCATGTAAAAATTCAATTGTCAACCAATTAACGATAAAGCTTTTTAAATTATTCATGAGCAATTCTTTAAATCTTCAAGAATTATCAATTCCAAAATCATTTTGGAAAATGATTGATTTTTCAAATATTTCAATAAGTTTATTGAATCTCAAAAAATTTTCAATGATTGGAACAAGTAATAGTCATTTAAACATTCAAGATTTTAATTGCCTGTCATCCATTCTCAAGAATTTATCAAGATTCTCCAACAGTTTAGAAACCATTGAAATTCATCATTTCTCAAATCCCAATTACAATTCCAATGTTAAAGTTATGGATTCTGAAATTGATATAGACGGCTTAAATTCATTGATAGAATCACAAGCTAGTTTAAAGAAACTTCTTATTTCTTACTCTTCTTGGAATTGTTTAGGTTCTTTAGCATCGGCTTTAAGATCTCAAATTGGAAACTTAACAGAATTTACTTTCACCAATATTAGATTTACAAATGATTCAATATTTAAAATTTTGGCTTCATGCAAAAATTTAGAGAATTTAAGATTTAATCGGTGTTCTGGACTCACATCTGAAAATCTCAAGTCATTATTATTAATTGATTCAACATCATTAATCAAAAAACTGGAACTATTGGATAACGATATAGAATTTACAACTTTATTTGATTTACTTGGTAAATCAAAATTTAATTCTTTAAGAACATTGAGCATGAGTGAATCTTCTAGGCTTCTTATTTCATCAGATCTTATAGAAACTATATTAACAAATTGTCCAGATCTTCAAGATCTTGATATGAGAATACAACAACCAAATATTTTCAAAAATATTCTTAAACCTTTACATTATTCAAATACAACAAAAATTCGAAATCTTCGTCTGACAAACACTTCTCCATCTGGTGTTTATTCTTCAAATGACTTTTCTGAAATAAGTGAATGTTTACCACGTTCTTTGAATTCTTTGGCTTTATTTTTTTGGGATTTTTCATCTGAATCTTTACAAAAATTTTTGGAGAATTGTAAATGTCCATTGAAAAAATTATTATTACATAAAGATCATGGAATTGTTGATAATCATTTAGAAATTATTACAAACTATGCTAAATCAAAGAAAACTCTTAAATGCTTAAATTTTACATTTAGAAGCCACGATAATTCTATTATTCCTTCAGAAGAAGCTGTTAAAAAAGCAAAAAAAATCATTCCTTTAATTCAAGGTGATAAAATCATATATATACAATAATAGATATAAAATTTATTGCTATTATATCATTGACATTTCAAAGCAACAGGTGCCTAAAAAAATTTTTGCGCCATTTTCATGTTAATTAAACAAATCAATTATTAATAAAATTGCATTATTTAAAGAATAACTTTAAACATCATCAAACTCTAGTGATTGATTCAACTACAACAATTGTTTTTATCACTTTTTAAAACTTCGAAATTACAACTTACAAACCCTTGTATCCAATCCCGTTTTAGTAACAAGTCGTTCTACGTATCAATATTGATCAGTATACGTGTATTTCAAACTTTGTCACTAAAGACAGCTCAAGCACGTTTTTATTGTGTATTTAGCATTTAATTTTATTGTGATAAAGTATATCAATAAATAAAGAAAATAAATAACAA